CTATAATTTCACGTTGTATGATAAAAGGATATTCCTAAAAAAATATATTACGTACACACAAACTATCGGAAATTGGATTGTCAATTCAGAAATGTAAAGTCGGTAAAAATTAGGAAAAGTGAAAAATCATTACATTTCGGGTGCTCAAAAGAGTTGATTCCTGCTTAACTGCTTCTTAAGAGACAGCATTAAGAAAATTATAAGAAACGCTTTTAATGTATTGGTCCATCTAGGAATTTGCAATCGTTAGCTAAAATAGTAATTAAAAAAAAAAACTTAAAAAATACTTTTGTTGGGCTGCTGTAATTTAAGTATTTTCTCTGTGTGCAACCCCCAGCGCCCTTAATTTTTCCACCCTTCATTTTTACCGCTCTGGGCATTTGCCCAGCTTTCCCCGTTTTATTTCGGATCCTGACCATAGACATAAATGAAGCTAACACAACCAAAAAAGTAAAGGCCGCATCAGAACTAAAACCAATTATTCTTTATGGTCAGTGGCGCAAACTCTTCATTAAAAAAAACTTGATGATTTTACTTAAAATAGTGGCATCAATTCCAATCTCTAACGCATCATCCGCAGAAAGAGAACTATTTCTTCTACCTGGACTAATATCCCTAAAATTTTACTATTATACCTATACATATTTCATCGCGCTGATCAGACCCTCGTATAGTTTTCAAGGTTTGAAAAAAAAGTAAGCAAAACAACCAAACCCAGCCTATAGCTAACCAAGTTAACCAAAAATGAGGATTTTTTCCGTAAAACATACTAAAAATTCAAGAAAATTTGAGATGTGGTTCCTCAAGTAAACAATTACCGAAGAGAAATAAAAATTTGGAAAATATCTCAAAATCTCGCCAAACCATAGAGACAGCTTTATCTATCATTTTCATTTTTTGTTCTTGAAAATTTCAAAAGGTACATAGGAACCTAATGTAATTTATTTATAACATAATTTAAAAACCATCCCAACAGAAGGAGCGATAAATTGACATACGTATGTAGGTAATAATAATGACATTCGTTCGTCTTATTATTAAAACAGAGCAAGCGAGTTCTATTAATTAACGTTTTCTGTTCATAAAATTGAAGTGCGCGGCTCAAAAACATCGTCAGCAACGTTGAGAATATTCCTACAGCACTTCGAAGTCGAAGCGAACGAAATCGAGGTCTGCCTTGGAAACGCGAACGCTCCATCCTTGTCAAAACGATTCGACGTCCTTCCCTAGCCTATGTGGCAACTGTTGTTTGTTCGCTCAACCGTTATCAGCCATCTCTTTTTATGTTTACCGCCCCAGCTCGCCGGATATGTTGGAAATACGCGGCAAAAAGTTTTCGAGTATGAACCGAGTAAAATAGCACCATGGACGGCCTCCGAGGCTGTGGAGGCGACCTTTCATTTTCTCCCGCCAAAATACCTTATGCGTCAAAAGTGTATTATTATTTTTCCACCTAAATCTGTAACTCCCTTTTTTAAACTCATGTGCCTATTCGTATGCTATTAAGGCATAAACGACCTTTGAAAAAATTTTTGTCTGTCTAATCTTCGAAACGGCTGAACCTATTTCGATGGCACTCTACGTACAGGAAGACGAGATTATCAAGAGTAATCCCAGCTACTTTTTGTCTGTCTGTCTGTTTGTGCGCGGGCTAATCTTCGAAACGATATCTTTTTTTGTCGCATATGAAGTCACAAGTAATAGCTAGTACACAATATGTATAAAACAGCCAATCACCACATGAGTATCCCATTTTTTTTTTATTAGAAAACGATTTCTTTTCGGTGAAAATATAAATTATGAGTGGACCTCATCTTCTTATTAACCTTATCGTTTTTATTAAAACCGCGAAACTCTTCAAATTAATTTATCACCCATAACCGTTTTACTAAAAGAGTGTCAAGAATGGATGCCTACTCATTTTTCAAAAAATAAACTTACACCAGATCAACAAAAATTTTCTCTGTGGGTGTTTTTAAATAAAAAAATCATGTTTGCTCAAAGGGGCCGTTCAAAAATATTGTAACTTAATTCGGAAAAGGGTGGTCTTATAAAACGTCACGGTACGTTTCAAAGGGGGGGGGGTTAAGTAACGTGTTACATAAAAATATGTTTTTGTTACTGCAAACGCGATGGAAACAACAACAAAAGATATTTTACTAATTTTCTAACAATTTGCGTAGATATGAGTGATTACCAGGTTGTGTCGTAACGTTGAGAAGGGGTGGGGTGTAAAGCAAAGTCTTATACGGAGTGTTATGGGAAAGACTGGCGGTCAAAAATCTTCAAAAACAATGTTAACGTCAGGCGCATACTTAGGGAGGGGGATTACTGGGTTTAGCCACCCCCAAAATTAAAAGAATACCCTAAGCAACAAGTGATAACACCATAATTAATGGTAATGAATAATCTATTTAAAAATGAGAAAGTTACTATAATAAGTCCTAAAATTTATTTTTAAAAATATGTAAAGGGTAGTCACAGCAAGGAATGGTAATTTTGTACGAGATATGGTTTAGATAAGGGTTCGAATCGAACCTTTTTGGACGATTGCAAATAAAGGAGAAATATTTTGACCAGATTGTCAATAAAAAAATGGTTAATTTCAATTAAAAACGGACACACTGATGTGCATTAGCAATTTTATACACAATATTTGCACATATTTTATGAAGAATAAATTTACAGTTAGATAATATTTAGGTCCAGTTTATATACAAAAATAAACACAACATTTTAGAGCTGATGATCATGCATTTAAAAAGCAGAAACATTTTTTTGAAAAACGAATTTTCATTGTGCAAATAGGTAATACCCGTTTCTTTACCTGCTTGCTACGTCACTGTTATTTAGTACGTAAAGCTACAACCAGCAACATTACTAACAATTTACATTTTAAAATCATTCTCGAGAAACTACATAAATAAAACCTTAAACACAAATGTGAAATGTTCAAGTCGAATCAATTTTTTTTGTATTTAGTGACTAAAAAAGAAATATTTTTTTACAAATGCTTTTACTTTATATGCTCATGCTAGATCACAGTTTGGGGAAAATTGAACGCAAATGCTAGTGTGACTCATGAAAATATCTATATTCACCGCAGCTAACATACATAGCTAGTTAGCTGCCTATGTAGTATCTACCTACATACATAGGTAGTGAACAGGTAAACATTTACAAATTTAAAAAACATTTTGAAAATTCATTCTAAAACTGGTATTTAATTTACTTTAATAAATTTTCGAACTAAACGCTACCTATCGAGTCTTTTTGGCTGCCATAAAACAACAATTTTGTAACGATTTTCTAACGAATTATTAATACCAAGTCTAAAAATAGCAACTGTTGAATCAGTGAAGTGGCTGATCGTTATGCCCTCTGTTAACGATTGGTTGTACTGCGCACTGTAAGCAGAATTAAAATTATTTCTCATTTCTGTTCCGAAAACGCACCATTCAAACATCAGAACGACAAACCGCAGTTTCAATATTAAAAATGTTTAAATTATAAGTACTTTACACGATACGTTATCTGCTTAATATTATAGAATGCCTTCCTATAGGAACGTTTACTTATTAAATTAAAATGAGCAAATATCCATATATAAAAACAAGTTATAAATATTATATCTACGTATATACTGTATGTACCTACATAAATTCGTAAGAACAGGCATAACTTGTGTAATCATACTATGTAATATATTTACACATTGTACTTTAAACTTTTAGATGAAAATTTTTGTTTTTAAACTCTTAAGTAATGGAAGGGACGCTAAAGATGCCTTGGTTGTAACTATACATGTTATACCTGTATAACATATACAATGTTATACCTGTATAACATATACACAGGTACAAATGAATTAGCCGACAGTTTTGATTTTAAAAAGTTTTCCTTTTCCTAAAAAAAAGGATGCGCGTTTTTCAATACTCTGGCATATGCAGGTATACCTTCACGCAGGTACATCATAAGTAGGTATGTGTAGGTGTATGTTTTGAAACTTTAATGAAAATGTTACAATTTACGTGTAATTAAGGAGTTTTGTTTATTATTTATTAGCATCAAATTTCTATTACACATTTCTTTTCTCCCTTTTTGCGTTTCTATTTACAAGTTTTCAAAACTGCGCCTTTGAAATACATCAGCAGACTACAGATCAACCTAAACGCAGGGTAAAATTTCGAAATTATCTCCATTGCTGTGTAACTAACGAAATCGCCCAACAAAATCGTGCACAGTTTTAGCTTTGTTGGTTTCCTGGAGAAACACAAACATTCATACATTGAGCGACTGTACAAGAGAAATAGACGGGAGGGTCAGAATCGTAGTGTGCCGTGAAAGCAGCACACTATAGCGTTTCCATCCCGGTCGGCCGTGGCACGTCGCCTTCTCAGAAAACGCCGATTGTTGAACCGTCGAGCAGAGAGAGACGGAAATAATAATGAGCGGGCGACGTGAACGACGTGAGAGGCGGGATGGAGTATATTGCGGCTTGGCCAGGAGGGGAGAGTGAGTGCCAGAATAGACAGAGATAGGTTATATTTTATGCATGGCATTGATTTGAAACAGGCTACGAGTGGTTGACTCATAATAATTGTACTGATAATGATAAAATTTATATGTTATTTCGAATTTTGTTTTTCCATTTTTTCAAAATACGAATAAAATATCTAGTCGCATTAAAAATCAAACCCAGATAAACATATACCTATTAATATCTACAATAATATAATAATGTGCCTACTAGGTAGGTATGTTATATTAGCATGTTGTAGGTTTATCACTTAGGCTTATTAATAAAGACTCGTTATTTAAGTATAATATATATATATGTATAGCATAAATACAAACTGATAATGTTTTCTATAATTATTTAATAATCTTTTACGGTAAAGCAATAAGTACCTACACCACTAAAGTTGATATGAATTTTAAATAAAAATTTCGCAAAATATATCTACATTAAAGTTAATCGTAAATCGGTTAATACTATCTGAGACATCACGATCCTTGCTGAAAATAATCTCTATTAGAGGGACATAACATAAATTTCTAGTTTTATTATAAAATACTCCGCTACTCTATAAAAGCATTAATTTAAAATGACTTCCCGCTTCGCTACATAGAGTAGGAGAACATTTTCAACAAACCTAACCTTTTAGCTGTGGGTTCAGTTCAAATGCAGGTGGAGCGATCAAAGCCGAGTATAGCCGAGGACTAACGACTGTTTTGAACCGGTCTCTCTGCGCGTAAATGTCTAACTCGCTTGTACACTGTTTAGACAGTGTAGTACTTCGTAGCATTGAGTTCTGTATGTGATAAGTGTGTTTCGTGCGACATGTTGCGTTACGCAACAATGACACCCCCTGGCGCGCACTAATCATGTGGTTTGAATCACAAGTAAGTAAACTAATTTTATTTAATTATAAACACTGAAAAGTTTCCAGAAAACGAAAAAATACAGGTAATTTTTTAGTCAATTTTGATTTTTCAATTGTATTTGTTTGTTGTTTTAAAAGAGCGTTGGAAATAAGTTATTTTGCTGTTTGTCGCAACTTTTTTATCTTAGCGTTTTAAGCTTTTGCATTTAGAAAGTTCTGAAAATTTAGCCTGTAACTGTTACAAGAACACCTAACAGTAATATACACGGTGTTGACAACAAAATTTTCAAAAGTTTTCATTGAAAAACTTTGATGAATCTTTCCCACGTGACAACTGTCAAACTCGATCTAGTTACCTATGCTATCTCCGCATGTGTTTTGTTTTGAAACGAGCGGGATCGCAGTGCATTGAAATGGTTTATGTACAGTGGACCAGTTCGCTCGACAATCGTACATCGCATGCTTGGCTACGGGCCCGCGACGTATGCTATTTGGCTGGTCCATCAGACATTAGTCTTGTAACGAAGACGGAAAAGTGGTAGGGGCGGCGCCAGAGTTAGACGTTTGCTGTTTACGACGCCTCGGCTTCTCTTTTTCCAATGGAAAACATATCGGATAAATTCAAATACTCCCGCGATTAAATGCGTACAAAACAGATTGAGGTTAGACTATTGTTATTTACTTAAAGGTAGATTGATAAAAAAAGTGAAATTTATTATTGTTACTTATTTTTTTTTGTTGTACCTACGAAAACAAAATGTTTATTCAGGTCGCTTTTATATATCTTCTAAAGTTGCTTTTAAGTTAATATAACTAGAAAAAAATTGGTCTGAGCACACTTTGATCGGTGCTAATACGACTAACTTCCCATTAGATAATACAGTTATTGTAAAGTACATTCGTTTCTAAAGTTTGAAAAAAACGCGGCACAATAATAAATAACAAACAATGTTTGAGAGTTCGTCATTTTATAAACCCATAAGAAACAGTATTTCGTCTGAGAAAACCGAATTGATAGAGTACTTGCATCAGTCAATTGGTAAATACTATTTTTTATTGTTTATCGATTGTTTATAACAATTCATTTTGTTATAAACAAATTTTTATTATAATATGTTATTATAATATGTTATTCCCTGTCTTGAATAATGATATTTCGTTATTATTGATTCCGTAACTTCATTGTTGTGATTAGATTAGAACGTATTTTAATTAAATTGTTTGTAATTAATTCGTTTTTTTTTTTATAAAAAAAAAACGGCTTGACCGATTTCGTTCAAATTTCTTTCAGATCTTCATTATGATAATATCTTTCGAAAAAATTTTGGTTGAGGGCGATATCTCAATCCGTTCTTGAGATATCGAAAACGAAAAAAATGCTGACATACGAACGTACGTACATACGTACGTACGTACGTACGTACGTACGTACGTACATACACACATCATCAAAAAAATTGGCTAGCATGCTACTAATATGTTAAAACGTGGAAATATAATGAAAATTCCGATTTCACTTTTCGACCCAATTACAATAACTTCCTAATGGGAAGTTAATAATGGTCTAGCAAAAGTTATAAATAATTTTTAACATTGTTTCTGTTTAGAGAAAAAAAAAATAATGCGTCGCTGTTTTTGCAATTTTTTTAAGATGCAGTAGGTACCTAGGTACTTATAGCAGAGACCACAGTACCTTTATGTCACGCTAGCTGCTAATAAAATACGTAAAAATATATGACCAGTGTATTGGGCGTTTTTAGTAGTGCGCCTCAACTGCGAAGGCTTTTCATGAAAAAACTTGGCGGAACTGTCAGATTTACAAAGCTCTATTCTAACATTCGAAGGTGTCCCGCTTTCTAAAAGTAGATGCTGACTACGCTATTCGCCGCTTACCATACCAACGTTGCGTGTCGGTACGTTTCTTCGCTTCTACTATAACAACGCTCTAGACTTAACCTATTAAATTTAAATGTTTAAAATATCAACTAATAATATGGGAGCCTACATTTTATTCGTTTATTTAAAACGTATAATTTGCATGTTACCCATATTAAAAGTATATTTTGTTATACATATAAAATTTTTTCAAAATTCGAAAAGATACGTATTAAGCATTTCATTTTTTTCAAGTCAGAAATAATGTCAACGAAAAAAGGATCGGCCAACTGTAGCACATATTATACGTATGTATGTAGCTACCTTTTTATCCCGGTTGATAACTGTTAATATGTCGTATACCCAGAGAAAAGAAAAATGTTACGTAAAGGACGTGGCTCGGTATTTTAGAAACAAAGAAAAATATGAACTGCAATTTCTGTAAACTTTACTGTACTGTAAACACTGTATTTGTCGAGAATTGAATGTGTATGTACCAACAGTAAGTACGATTGCTATTATACGACTTTTAGTATACATGTTTGTTCTTGCAACGTAAGATAAGATACGAGGGTGGATTGATAAGTTTCCGGCCTGACCAAGAAAAACAAGGTTTTTAAAAATTTTTTTTTTTTATTTCTCAACGTGTAGTACTTCGTAGCATTGAGTTCTGTATGTGATAAGTGTGTTTCGTGCGACATGTTGCGTTACGCAACAATGACACCCCCTGGCGCGCACTACATTTACAGCTTCGATTACTTCTTCATTGTCCGCAAATCTCTTACCGCCAAGCCATTTTTTGAGATTAGGGAACAGAAAATAGTCACTCGGGGCTAGGTCTGGAGAGTAAGGAGGGTGCGGCATCAATTCAAACTTTAGATCGTTGATTTTAGCCGTCGCAACGATTGACGTGTGCGCTGGTGCGTTATCGTGATGAAACAAGATTTTTTTCTTCGCCAGATGAGGTCGTTTAATTTTCACCTCGTGGCTCAAACGTTGCAATAAGTCTGCGTAGTATTGACCAGTGATAGTATTACCCTTTGCAAGGTAATCAATGTATATAATACCTCTTGCATCCCAAAAAACAGTAGCCATAACCTTGTTCGCCGAAAAAATTGTTTTTGCCTTCTTTGGAGTTGGTTCCCCTGGTCCAATCCACTGTTTAGACTGTTCTTTGGTTTCAGGAGTGTAGTGGTGGACCCACGTTTCGTCAACGGTTACGAATCGACGCAAAAATTCGCTTGGATTACGCTTATACAATGACAAATTTGCGGTAGAAATGTTTTTTCGAATCAATTTTTGGTCGACTGTTAGCAAACGCGGCACCCATCTTGCACAGAGCTTTTCCATATGCAAATGTTGGTGCAAAATATGTTGCACACGTTCATATGACATCTTACAGGTCTCAGCTATCTCACGCACTTTCAATCTGCGGTCTCCCAGCACTATTTGATGAATTTTTTCGATCATATCTGGAGTTGTGACCTCAACGGGGCGTCCTGAGCGAGGCCCATCAGAGGTGCTCACACGACCCTTTTTAAACTCGGAAACCCACTGCTTAACGGTTGAATATGACGGGGAGGATGTCCCCAGTGTTGAGTCCATCTCTTTTTTAATTTCCTTCGGCGTTAACCCCTTCAAATAAAAGTATTTGATGACAGCACGATTTTCCTGCTTTTCCATTTTTACGAAAACCACAGAGGCGTCTTGTTCAGCGTGCTGTCAAACCTACACTAGCAAGGAGATCGGGCTGAAACTATAGCTACAAGCTATCCAAGGATGGTACTATAGAATGTCACCTCAAGGTAGGCCTAGTGGCGTCATCTCTTGGTTAGGCCGGAAACTTATCAATCCACCCTCGTATAAGCAGAAAATCAGACGTACTTTGTACGTAAATAATGCTGATAGTAGATTTCGAACAAAATGTTCTTACTTATGGGTACCTGTATACAGCAGTTGCGACTTAAGAACCGAACGTAAGGATAATCTATTACATTACAACAAAAGGCGGCGTCACATTTTCAAAAGTACGACGTGATATAGAAAAATTCGTACAAATACCTTCCCATCTTTTCATATAAATAATAAAATAATACAAGTCCAAACAAATTCACTTTGAAGCGTTTCAGAGGTGTTACGTTTTGTTCAAAATATTTTGAGAGTTTGGTAAGTTTACGACAGTTTTCAGAGAAACAAGTCATATTTTCAAACCGACGTGATTTCTTCAGTATGATAATATCTTTCGAAAAAATTTTGGTTGAGGGCGATATCTCAATCCGTTCTTGAGATATCGAAAACGAAAAAAATGCTGACATACGAACGTACGTACATACGTACGTACGTACGTACGTACGTACGTAC